TGTCAGGTTGGTTTCATTCAGGTTCATCCTTAAACCTTTCACTCAGCCCAATATTAAGCTGAGGCTAAGGCATAGGCCTAGCAGCCTACTCTCCGCGGGTCGGCTTACTCTCCGCAACAACGATGTGCGGACAGTTGATGGGACTACTTTCCGCGCGGACGGTTAACCAACCGCGCCTGGCCAACTTTCAGCTGAACAGGCCTAAGACCATTTCTTTCCCTGTCAAAATCTTATATGCCTAGGAAGAGAACAGGCAGACATTCATGTATGCATTTATAGTTTCCATCTTGAGCTGGGATGAAGCGAAAGTCAGATGGACTCATTTTGTTCCATTTCAGATGTCGATACTATTTTGACAAGTGGTACCATGCTGTACCAATTGCAGAAGGGTTGCTCACACTCTTCGTTATTCTCAACTTCAGTTTGGCCACATTCATGGACCCTGGAATCATTCCTCGAGGTGAGTTAACTGGAACTGTTGCATTAATACTATTCGTAATGCCAATTCTCATTCACGGATATGTAGACACTATGTCTCTGATCCATTATCCCATGCTTTGGACTGCCAATACCCTTGCTCTCCTCTCCTTGTTCCATGGGGGGAACCTGGAGTGCCTTTTATTGATTTTTAAAATTCCATCTCTCCAGAAATAAAGTGCCTCTGTCTCTGTGATAATTGGAGCAACCAGTTTTTCTCACATTGCTGCTTTAGACACTTAGAATGCCCCTTTGCTTGTCAAAAAGAGTTCTAAGCCTGGGAAACCCAATAATAAATGCAACACAGCATCCTGGGCAATGAGGAAATAACAGTTGTAGTACATAATTTTATAAATTATCAAAGTATCCAGAAAGCTAAGAATTAGGGCACCTGAATAATCTCAGGGGAGGAGGAATTTTGAGATAATGGTAGGTGTGTGCACCAACTCCCTATCTACCCATGGGGATCTTGCAGCATTCATAATTTTTTAATGAATCATTATGTAAGATTTTTCAATTGATGCCTTGGAGGATGCCATGAGGAAGGAATGAATTCACAAATGGGCAGGGCATGGATTGGGTCACAGTTGATAATAAAGTTTCTGATAGTTGAATGCTGGGAAGCAAATGAGAGAAAGGGAGAAGAGAAGTCAAATGTACCCACCCCCTTTCAGGTGTTAATGGCTTCATTACCCCTTGAGCATACTTGAGGAACTGGTGGGGAGACTTATATTTAGAGAATTTTGTGTAAATAATCATTTTATGGAAATCTTGACCCCAGCACCATTGAGTCACTATCTACTGACAATAGCAATGACTGTATGAGTGAGAGGATTGCATCAAATACACAGGTAGCTAAAGTTGTCATGGATGCTGAAGAGATTAAAATTGCAAACAAGAAAGGCTTGGAATCTGTTATTTCAGCTCCAAGTGATGAAGACAAGGATGAGGAGTATCGAGCACCACTGTACAAACAAGTGGAGATCCGTGGCATTACTGTGCGCATGAAGTGGTGTGTCACCTGCCAGTTCTATCGACCACCACGCTGCTCTCACTGCAGCGTCTGCAACAAGTGTATTGAGGTATTCTCTCCAGCTGAGCTCAAAATGATGAATTACCTAGCAGTAGCAAGTATATTATGAATTTTTGCATATTCATTTAGACCTTTGACCACCACTGTCCGTGGGTGAACAATTGTATTGGGAGGAGAAACTACCGCTTCTTCTTCCTCTTCCTTCTGTCTTTGTCCATCCACATGGTGGCGATATTCATCCTCTGCATTCATTTCATCATGAATCACAAGAATCAGCTTTCCTCCATTGAAACCATTGTGGCGTATCCTTTCCTCTAACTCTTACAGAGAATTTCTTGACACTCTGAAATTTTTTACATTTGGAATTTGAAAGCATGATGAGATTGAAGTGCTTTTGAAAAGGAAGAGATGTTCACTTTTTTCCCTCATCATTTTGTGTCTAGTATGTCATTTGAGGGCTGTTAAGAAGGATTTGTAAGTTGACTGGTTGAGGGAGTTCTACTTGTGCCCCCAAGACCCACTTTGCATAAAATTTTGAATTAGGTGAATTGGAAAGATGCATTCCTGATGGGGTTTGAGTTTTCCTGCATAAGAACTGATTTCATTCCTTTCAGGTATACCAGTATTCAAATCTGAAGGACTCCTCCAAGTATCAGTGATTAAATTTGACTCCACAAGCAAAGGAGTTTTATTCAAGTTTCTATTCCCATTGAACCTATGCATAAAAAAATTGATTCCATCAGTTTCTTTATCTTCGGGAGATGTCTATCTTCAACCATTTTGGTAAAAAAAATAATGTTGCATGAGATAATGCACTTTGGTGAACAATGAATTCCAAAATGTTCTGTCCTGTGCCTTGTCAAGAAACATTTCTTTTTCTTACCTCACTTTTCTTTATGGCAATATTGAGTCAAGGTTGCAGTGATACTAAACTTCACATTTGTCTGCATCATTTCAAAGACATTTCTCCCTCTACCCTCAGGAATGATGAAATAATGAAGGATTAACTGATTTTTTTCTCATTGAAATGCTAAGATGTTCTTGCTGCATCTCAGTGAACAGTGAATTTCAGGAAATTTCTGAACAAGTTCCTACAACTAACTCTTGTGCTCATTGAATCCTAAGTCACCCCAATGTGCACATCAGTGTATTAGGATGAGACTATACACATGATTTTTAAAGGTTATTTCATGCTTTCCAGCTTGCACATTCTAATGGTGCAATGCAATCCTATTTGAATAAAGTTAATAGACTCATCAAATGACTGAGGGAAGTGTAACCTCATGATGGAGTTGGTGTTTCATCTAAGAATGAATGAATAGGATATGTGAGAGATCCTTGACTAACTGTTGAATGCAGGATCTGCATCTGTGGTGTGATAGCCCTCCTCCTCATCCCCATCTTTGGCCTCACGGGCTTCCACATAGTTTTGGTCTCCAGGGGACGCACCACTAATGAGCAGGTGACTGGCAAGTTTCGGGGCGGCATCAATCCCTTCTCCCGTGGGTGTTTGCGCAATTGTTGCTATGCTGTCTGTGGACCTCAGTATCCAAGGTACACCACATGAGCTATCTGATGTAGATTTGATACACTTGAAAAAGCATATCTGTTGAGGTCGGATTAATTCCTTCATTTCTCTTTTATTGTACATCACAGTGTGTTGAAACCAAAGAAGTATATGACAAAGAGCAAGATGTTCATGTTACGTCCTCCACCTGGAATGGCACAGCCTACTAGCCCCATAGCTCCAATTGGTGCTTCACAGGTCAAAGTGTACACCGATGTCAGTGCTGGTGCTAGCAATGGACTTAATCTCAGTGCCAATGCTTATAATCGGGTGAGTAACTAATGTTGGCCAAGTTTCATTAGCATACTCTTGGGGTCACTGCATGGGCACCATTCTTGTTCTTGCACACTCTACTAAGAGAGATGAATAAAGTTTTAAAATAATATTCATGCTGAGTTCCCTCAGCATGAATTAGATTTGAGCCCCTGTTTTAATTATGAGGATTATTTCTTTGCATGCATTGCATGGCCAGATTCATGACACAGTAAGTTAATGTTGAATTAATTCATCTTTTCTGCAGGTTTTGAGCACCAACTAACTTTGAGTCTTGTTTGCGTGTTTGCATCATCATTCTACTTGCCAAGCACTTTTGAACATGCCTTATTTTCAAGTTTTTTTTATTCTGTATTTTGGGCATGTCAGAATGCTATTTCACTTTGCATTGTAGATTCTGATGAATTAATACCACTACTTCACAAAAATGATCAATCTCATTTGTGAAATTGACAGTTTTTCTTAAGTCCATCAGCAAATGGAAATGATGCTTTTCATATGGGGTTCTTGTATTTGTACTCTTCCCATAGATGGTTGCAAGTGAGATGGCAGAGTATGAGATGGAGGGAATGGGAGGAAGCCAGTCTGTAGACTGTGAGGCATCTCCACCTGTCTCCCGAATTTCATCAGGATTGCACCAGACAGGTTCCAAGGTGAATTTCTTTCAAACTGGGGAAGAGGCCTCCCCTCGCAAGGGGACTGTGAACATGAGCCGCACCGCCTATCCTAAAGGATCTCCTCATCCAAGGCACAGGTTCCACATTTGGTTTATTTTCTGCTGTATATAAAATTCCACTTCCAAAATTTGTCCAAGTTTGTGCTGTCCCTAATATTATTTGTAATTAACATGGTTTGGTGGTCAAGAACCTGGAGTTTTTGACATGAAAACCTCATTGGTGAAGATTTGTGTGCAATATGTGGTGGGCTCTTCTAAAGTGACATCTGACCTACCTGTATTCTGTGAGATGTGTTTGCCAAATGATGCTGGGGAAACACATGGCACATATTGTTCCATATTTATGAGAAGTTGTGGGACTCTCAGTCCTGCCCCCAGCATAATTGCCAAAGGCAATTATGCTGGTAATGGGTCTAGATGACCTATGAACCATTGGAGGACTGGTTGGGTTTCCATGCCCGAGGAACTGCAGTTGGGTATACTGTCTAAGTGAAGCCCCCAAATGTGATCATTTAAAATTTCCTACCATCCTGTATGTCTTTCACATGAACAGGACTAATGTAATTACTTGCCTGGATGCCTTTCCTTTTCAAGTAGGCCTCTTGTAATGCTTCATTGATGCCAGGTTGCAAATAAGCACCCAGTTGGCATATTCATCCTTCACCTTGTATTTGAGAGCATACATAGGATTGGGAATTGTATCAGTATCAGGAAGTGCAACAAGAGGGAAGACTTCACTTTCAGATTACTCTACCTCTCACAAAGAAAGTATTGGATAGGTTATACTTAGATTTGTATACTTGGATTACCCTCGCCATAATTTTGCTTGGCCCTTGTGCCTACTCCAAAATGGGGCAAAGCTTTCACTCACATGTTACTGTCATGCTGTAATTCATTTCTCCTTGTCGAGAAGAGCATTAAGCACATAGTAAAGGATTAGATAGTGAAATTTAAAATATCTCTGTATAATCTAATTAGATTTGCAATGGGCCTGAGTTTATTTCTTTTTATTCGGCAAAGAAATGCTTTCTTCTTTCCTATATCATGTGCACATTTTGGCTCTGCAGGGAGACAGAGTTCTATCGCACGGGTTCCATGAGATCCTGGAGTCAGACCCCAGATGGAGGTCTCCAGCAGTCGCCAAGCCAGCGAATCAAGTCCATGGGAGGAGTGGCCACCCCATTTGCTATGTCGGCAAGGCGCTCCACTCCGGGTACCCCAGTGAACCATGGGGGTGCTCCACGTCGCCCCAATGACATCCCGGTCTATCTCCCACCGTACGTGCCTCCAACTCGCAAGACAGCCTCTGAGGGCACCATCCGTCACTCCTCGGATGACCGAGGCATCGATCAGATCCCTGAACTGGCAAGTTCTCCACAGCGAGGGATTTACACTTGGCGTGAGCCATCTCCTCCTGGACCCCCGAATCATCGATCACATCCTAATTCTCCTGCTGATCAACCAGATCAGTATCATCACCTGGCCATGCCCCCTTCCCCACATCTGCCTCGTAAGCACTACGATCATGGAGGCTATCATCCCCAACCGATGGGCATGCGAGTACTTCCTAGCCCACAGCATCACCGTCCCATGACATTCTCACATGCGATGCAGGTGAGTGACTCCATGGAGGCTCAGCAGGCCCATGGGGTGCAATTTGTGCGGCGTGGTAAGCCTCTGTCCCCCTCAAGTGGTGATTCTGAGCGCCGAAGCGTCTATGACATGAACTATGAGATTTCTGTGTGATATTTTGAAGAGCGATCAAATGACAAAAAAACTTATTCTCAGTGCACATCCTCAGACAAAAATATTGCAGAAATATATAATATAATTGCAGGACAGAAACAGGAGAAGGAAATATTTATTCAACAGTGTGATATTTTTCCTCCTCTGGAGAAATCTCGTGTGGCAAAATGCCATCAATTCTGTGTGTTCAAGACTCATGAGTGCATCAATATTAAGTCCCCTGTGCCAAATCTATATCCAATCTGAAGAGTTTGTGTGCATCCACGCATGTATGTGTTTGTACGTAAGTGTGTGAATGTGCATGTTGTGCCATCCCAACCTCTGTTGTTGCTTGCATGAGTTCTTTACTTGCCTCTATTATGATATTGACCGACAGGAAGCGATTCAAATTGATGTACTTGCCTAATGATAGTAAGAATTTGCCCAAACAAACTTTTGTAGTGGAATTCTTCTAGGTCAATTTGAAATAAGAAAATATCTGTTGTGCACGAGCAGCTGCATTGCACTCAGCCATTAGGGGAGCAGGGGACGCTACATGGTGAGCATGTAAGCATCAGAAAAGTGAAGAGTAGTAAATTTCTTGTCTGAGTTCCAATTGATCTGATAATTGGATCTCCAAAAAGTACTGCTACAAAAATTGCCATGTCAAGCATGTCCATGTTTCCAAGGAATTGCTTTTTTTATATTAATCAAGGAAACATGGTATATCATGGGACATTATATCCATTGTGATTATAGTATTTTATCTTCTGGAACATGTTCCTCCATGAATTATGAAGAATGTTTATTTGATTCAAATGCTGTTTATATATCAGTCTTCCCCTAGTCCAGGTATGAAGGAGGTAGCCTGTACACAGGGGTATGCAAAGTACAGCCAGATCCGTCACATTACAGGTTTCGCATCCAAGTAAATAAAATGCAAGTAGGATTGTATGCTAAGTATCCTTTATGAAGTTTCTCATCTAGAAAAAATTGAAACATTTTTTTGACTATATAACATACTCCATTCTTTCTATTTCCAATGTTGCCCACCACTCCAAAACTTCGTGCATCCCTTAGGTAATGTAATTCTACAAGGCCTTCTTCATTTAGCATGCAACAGAACCTGGCCCCTAGCTTCATGTCTACCTGTACCTCTAATGTTTGAATGCTCTGTGCTCTTGATCTCATATGCATCTCTCTCTCTTCTCTTTTCATCGTTCACTCAAGTTATCATGGTTTGATTTTTGACTTTTGGATAAGTTTGCCAGCTGTGATTTCTTGTCGTATTTCTTTTCCCTGATAATTTCGAGTTCAAGCTTTGCTCACTGTCCTGTTCTGAGCTGTCTGAACTATGTTTTTGTTGTCTGGAATTTTGTCCAGCACTTGACGTATTGATAAATTTGATCAAGTTGATGAGTTCATTATGTGTCCTCGCTGCTCACTTGAAATAAAAACTGAACTCTCTTTTATTTTGCTCCTTCTTTATCGTCCCTTCTCCAGGAGACCCCAAACAGGGGAGTAGAAAACGAACCCAGCTCACTATCGAGCAGACTAATTCTGTGACGTCTTTGAAAAGTCCTCAAACGGTTGGCCGTGCTGCGCCTGTTGCGACAGCCCCCTGCGTATTCCAAGAGCGACCCAAAAGAACCCGGAACGAAGTCATCCGCACACCCAGCTGGTGATCCGGTTAGTAGCGAATTTCATGACGCACATTTGCATTGACAAGAACTCCTCCAACCGAATGCGTATTACCTCCCAATGGAGCCTTTCCGGTTTCCTCGTTGAAATAGGTGAGATTCTACCGTATTTTGTCAACTTATACTTGCAACGTGGGAATCTTGGATCATCGTGTCAGTCTGGTATTGAATCGATGATGGAATGGTAATATTGGGAAGTCAATATTTAGCCAGTATTGGCAATAATGACATTATGTATGAGGGGGAGTCAATAACTAAGGTAAAAATGTTTTTCACGGACAATATGTACCCATTATGAACGCAATACCACATACCCTCATTACTGCATGTCTGAACATGTTGTACTCATAGTTTCAGCAATATAAAGTTGGCAACATTGTTGCCGACAGTTTTTAAAATGGCGGCCCCGAATTCAGATTACACCGCTGTTGAACAGCGAAGTGTCATTCGATTTTTACTGTCAGAAAGAGTTAAACCAAGTAAAATTTATCGTAGAACGTGTGTACAATATGGGGACAGTTGTTTTTCATCGAAAAGTGTGTACAAGTGGTGTGAACTATTCAGAAACGGTCGCAATTAAAGATGCACTTCGGGGGCTCAATTTCAGGGATGATACAGATGTTCAAAATGCGGTGCATAATTGGCTACGCTCTTTACCAAAAACTTTTTTCTCTGATGGAATCAGAAAGCTTGTCAGTCGCTGGAATAAGTGTGTTGAGGTAGGAGGTAATTAATATATATAGACGATCATGACTGACCGACGCTAATTCTAACCATGTTCTAGAGAAGTTAGAAATCTGAAACTTGGTACACGAGTAGCTACTGGGATGTAGAGTTCAGAAAAAGTCCGACTTTGGAGGTACATGCCCTGGGGGGAATGATTTTGCAAGCCTAGGCCCAGCCCCCAGACGGAGGTTTCGGCCTACGCCATTCTCATACACATGTTCCTTCCTTAGTCATTGAAGGAAGTGTGTGTAATGGGAGGAATTCCGATTTTTGGAGGGGCGGAGGGGGGAGTTACATGCCCTGGGGACAATTTTCAATGGGGGCTGATTTCGCAGGCTTAGCCCTAGCCCATGGATGGACGCTTAGGCCAATACCATTCTCATGCTCTCTCTTCTTCAAAGGTAGCGGGATGGAAAACTAACAGCTGTTGGCTTGCACACTACAGGTAACAGTTGGACATTGGAGGTACGTGCCCTGAAGGGACTGATTCAGCAAGCCCATATCTAACCGTCGGACAGACGCTCAGGCCTACATCGATCTCGGCTCATTGGCATCAGGAACTTTTCGGCCTATCTGAACGGAAAACCTGCTGCCTTAGCATGCGGCGAGAGGTCTTTGCCCTATGCCTTTCTAGGTTTCTTTTTTTGCAGCAGCAGGGAAACGACAAGGAAGATTTTCCCCCGACTTTCCGATTCATAGGAGTTATGTTCAATGCAGGACGCTTAGTCCAATGCCATTTCTATGCTCACACTTCAACTATACAGGAACGTAAATAGCCATAAACTGCCTTCATGAATGACGTATTTTCTCATGGACAACTGTATGTAGCATTAGGTAGAGTTAGAAAAAGGGATTCCATTGAAGTACTTGTGCCTAAATATAGATAGAGAGATAATGAAAGAACTCCCCCTACAGTGAACGTAGTCTATAAAGAGTTATTGCGTGAAAACTCTCAAGTGGCTTATGCGGTTTATGTGGCTGCTATTACTCGCTTCTGCTTTTTTGGAGAGTGATATGCAATCAAGAGTGTGTCGACCATAGGCAGGAATTGAATACACCAATGGAACGCTGAACGACGCACTGACAATTGTTACTTGGTGATCATCATGCTACAAGTAACATGGCGTTACTAAGAATATGTTCTAAGACACCTTTTCTTTCAAAGGTGCCAGAGCCAAAAGTGTGGGAATCGAACCCATGAGCAAAGGAGTTGCACCGCATTACTAGGGGTGAGCATCGAAAACGGATGCCTTAAACTGAAACGCATTAGTAATTTCCTTAGATCGCAGAGCGCCGAAGGCGCGTCCATAGCTCGCTAGTTACATATAAAAATAGTGTGTGTTCATGTTTCTGGAATAAACTGTTTTGAAGCTACACTGAATTTCACCTTATTTATTGACTCCCCCTCGTATATAGATATCGTACCTAATGTCGGTCCAGCATTGAGCCAATATCTGGTATTACTAGGGTGATAACACTGGATAGGTTCTTGGTCGTTTCTTGAAAAATTTTCCCCCACATTTGG